TGCTTCCGCCCCGATCACTGGTTTTAGTTCCAGAGCTACTTTCCCATTGGATTGCAAATGCTCATGATAGGCGATGGCTTGTATCACATTCTGTTCATACTTCGCGTTGAAAAACATGCAGTACACGTATGAAGAAAAATGGTGCTCCGCCTTTCTTCCCAAATCATAGAAATGTGATAGAGTGCTTTCTTGGGTGCATTCCTAATCATGTTACCTTTTGGTTCTTCCAATTAAAATTTTATTATTAGATCAGGGAGCAAATTTGGCGATAAAGATTTGGTGAGAAGTACACAAGGTATCTATACTCCCTATTTCGGAAAACGAGAAGAGCGTCGAGTGCAGACCACACACCACAAGTGACGACGGCCAAAAAAGTGGCTTTTCTTTTCTTTTTTCTTGGCCGTCGTCACTTGTGGTGTGTGTTCTGCACTCGACGCTCTTCTCGTTTTTCGAAATAGAGGGTACATACATACGTGTAGGGAAGGTACATGAGAATATGGCCCAATTTTGTTTTGAAAGAATTTGGGGTCTTTATCCTGAATAGCAGGAATTGATGCAACCCCTAATACATTCAGTAGGTGTCATGTTGCTCCAAAGGTCGCATTACACATGAAAAAACCACGACTTTTATGCTTTTTGTTAAACTGTGATCGCTGAATTTCCTTCTTACAGCCTCCTAGAATTTTCTATTGGCTCCCATGATGGCTATAAAGTTTAAGGAGTTGGACGAATCAAAGTCACCTCATAACTGCAGCTCAGACAATACTGTCGCCTATCAACGGCTTTTTTGTTGATCCAACTGTTTCTTTCCTAGGACTGTTGAGACAATATAGCGATAACTTTTGGTTAGTCGATTTCTGAGTGCGATCCCAGTAGCGTGCTCAAGCCTCGCGAACCCCAATATACATTTTTTTCTTTTTATTTATTCAAACAAGTAAATAAAATATTAATGAAAACCGACTCGCAGAGAACGAGAAAAGTAGCAATCAATCAAAACAAAGAGTGAATAAATTTTCATTGGTTTATCCTAGAGAAAGAGCAGATGGAAAGGAAAAAAATGTCATGGAGCAGAGTAAAGCATTACCCTTGCTGAGGACCGGCTAGTGTAGACGGAGAGAAAAAGGTTACTGAGGAGAGAGGCGTAAAGGTCAAGAAAGCACTTCAGTAGGCACGGTATTACCTGAAGGTGCGCAATACGCATGTCCAACATTGATCGGATGCAGCGCGGCAGACACAACCGCAAACAGTCTCAGTGGTGCAGGGTATGCACCCGCAGTCCTAACATTAACGAATGACGGTCAGGTTTGATTTCACCATGGGTTCAGAGGCAGCATCCTCTAGGGAAAGTTATGCTCACTGGAGTGCAGGTTAGCTAGACAGAAGGGTCCGCAAGCGCGCGCAGGAGTTAGCGACTTTGCCATAAATATTCGTCAGGTAGTAGCACCAAACATTGAAGGAATCTTCCGCGGAAAAAGCTCCGCCTCCATTACCACAGAAAACGATACCCCTTAGGCCCCTAGCCTCATGAGCATAGCAAAAAGAACGGAACATAAGCGTTAGTTTCGATAATACTAATCCTACACACAAGACAAAATGATCACTTTTTCTGTGGAACATTCTTTTAAGGTATCGTTTTCTGTGGTAATGAGGGCGGAGCTTTTTATCCGTGGAAGATTCCTTTAGCGGTCCACATGGGACTCCAGCCAACGCCTGTGTCCAGGAAAAGGTCCTGTTCTGGAATTGACGTCCTGGCTGAATTCGCTTCCATTTTTACTTGTCGACATCCACATTGGAAATTCCAGCGAAACGGCCATACCTAACTGTGACTGAGCGGTGCTTAAGTCTTTTGTGTTTATTCGGATCTACAGTTGAACTGTTCTGCACCCGAACTCTGAGTTGCGCCGCAGTTACCACAACAGTCCGACAGTGTCGCACACTGCTTTCATGGTTCCGGATTCCAAATGTTAATATATCCCCCTTCTGCGGAGGGAGCGTAATGCAACGTTTCTTTCACAGAAGGGAAGAAGAATTGAAAATCGCAAGCGACAAGAAAAATCCGACTTGTAAATTCTTCGTCCCTTGGCAAAAATAGCGTGAATCTGAAGAGTTAGCTAGGAGAAGTTCACTTCTTACCTTGTTTTTCCATCGAATCACGACATTCGCGACGTTGACATGCATGGATTCGATTACCCAACCCCTGCTTTGCGAGACGAGTCTCACGGTAATTGAAAAGAATCGAGTTAGCCGAAATTGCAGTCAACACTAAGCGATTGATGCTGAAATTTGTCAATTTTCGAGGATTGAAAACGCATGGAGACTTAAGAAGAACGACGGATCGAGGTTTAAAATGAAAGAGGTAGCTTATCGTAAAGAATGGTAGATATGGCTAGTAGGGGCAGGTGAAAAACCATGCGAAACGGCCTGAAACCGGAGAAATGAAACCCTTCCATACCCGTTGAATTCGCATTGATGCGACCCTCATTGTTGTGCCATCTTCAACGCTAACGCTATCTCTGCTATCTGCTCACTCGCCTGACGCCTACTACGGCGAGTGACTAGATTGTCGGTAGGCGTTCCGGGCCAACTGTGCCGAAAGGAGGCCATGGTAGATCGAGGGAGCGATCCTTCGATAATAATAGCGTGCTGGTGCATAACGCTCAGTGCGTCCACTGTCTCTCCATTTCATCAGTTCCACTTCTTCGCCCTTCGTTCTTATCGTGGAATCCTCCTTGAAGGGCTTCATTTTTTAGTGGGCGACTGAGCTGAGAGGAGCAGTGAGCTTAAAGGAAAGGGAGTAAGTAAAATACGGGGCAAGTTAGCTCGTGCACCCCTATCGCGAAGAGCGTATGCCATTAGAAACGATAGTAGCACGCGACTAATGACAAGGGTCCATCCCCACTGTCACGCTTTTTCGAGTTGCAAGACTTCAGCTCTTCGATCTTCGATTCGATCTTCGTGGAGAGTGCTATCCTACTTACAAAGGGCTTGATCCAAATGAACTCCACTTTAGGCAAGCTTTCAATATGGTTAATAAGAAACTCTGTGCAAAAATTTTCAAATCCTCTGTCACTCATAGAAATTCGCAAAGGCTGCAAAGATTTGTTAACCATGCATGCAAACCCCACTGTGTAACTCTTCGTTCACTCGAGTCGGTTTTTTTAACAAATAACAGCTACCCATTTTCCTACTTCACTGCGGAGTGAACTGTCCTAAGGGGAGCTGATCGTGAGGGATCTTCGCAATGACATTTGTGAGCGGTTTTGGATCAGGCACGTACCACGTTTCAGCGAACTGATTCGCCGTTTTGCGTACACGACACCCATCTCCATTGGCCTCCAGAAATTGATTATAAAGTTCTCTTCAAGTATACTTTCACGAGGGGGGTTCCAGCTCAGATGATGGAGGTTTTTCCAAATGGTTTCTAAATGGTTGTACGGCGCATGTGAGAACACAGAGCCCATGGTCCATATTTTCCTGAATGCCCCTATGATTCAAAAATGATGCTGAAATGTATCAAAGTTTCGATCCCCTTTGATGAAAAACTGGCAATTTACGTTGGCGCATTCATAGAGCCGGTAAACACGACAATGACATCTATCCTCTACGAAGGCGCTATTTGGCGGCATTCTAGAGGCGCCGAATTATATTGCAGAAATTAGTTATCAGCGGAGATCGTACTCTGGGCCATTTTTTTCATCAGTGGTTTTGACATTCCAGGAGGCGTTCAGGAAAAATGGATCATGGTTCTGTGTTCTTCGCATGAGCCCCTACAACATGCAGAAAACTGTTTCGAAAAAGCGCTCCATGTCCTGGAAGACGTCCCTTGTCAGAGATTTCTCTTCTCTGACCTTATCACTTGTTACGTAGCTAACCATAAGGCAGTTTATTTCACTCTATTAACTCCTTTTTGTATTGTTACATTACTTCTTTCTGCATAGACAGGCTTACAAGCTCCTTGGCTCCTTTGCACTTACCGCGTCACTTCTCCACTGCGGCCGTCTAGTGGACCTTGCAAGGTTAACGGACCTACGGCGAAGGTCTACAGAGTCCCATTTTAGCTGACGGCCGCAGTTTTGGCCGGCCGCTGCTCTTTCCTCCGCATAGTTTCAGCGCCTTTCTCATCCCCGGACCGCTCGAGCAGGTCATAATGTGCGACTCTCAAGCGATTAATCTCTTTTTTATCGAGCCATGTACCTAATTCATTAAGTTTTTCAACTAATTTCCATATATCATATTTTATCACTTCACTATTCTCTTTCTGTTTTCAAGTAACTAAATATTCCTGTACTTCTGTTGTAAAAATAGTTAAATAAATAACAAATAATTTAACCAAGAAATCAGATTCGCTGTGAGCTCCTTTTTCAGCGGCCTGTAACTGCACAAATGGTACCTCCATTCCTCGAGCTGCTGAGCAATAAGCGTGCATCGGAACTAGCCTTCGTGGTGTCCTCGTAATGTTAGGTTTTCCTGAATCTGATTGGTTTTGTCGCTGCACGTTTAGGTGAGAATAGCCATAAATTCGCTTTAAAAGCAGCTCTGAAGGAGCAGAGATAGCAAGCAATCAAACAGCACGCACTATCGTGAATGCGCCCACACATCAGGACCGGAGAGCCGTTTCGCCTTCAGAGTGGCACTGCACTGGTAGAAATATCTCTCCAAATTCTTCCAAACTGATCCCACGCAACCGGTTGTGTACTGTGGGCTAGCAACAACCTTTTAATAGGGATAGGTTTTCTCTTTTTGTCATCTCACTGGACACCTTTTCCCTAGACATACTCGCAAGTATTCTTCTGCAGCCCTCTAAGGATTACCGCTTTAGGGTCCTAGAAACGTGACTGCATCATTTTGTTCTCATTAGAAAACCTCTTTTCTTTCTCTCTTCTGTTCTGAGTTAAATTACTGAATAACGTTTTCCAGATACAGCGCAGTTCTTCAAGAATTTCAATGACCCTAGGGACTCCCTAATTGCTAAATGGTCCCAAATTCGAGATAGTCAGCATGCACGAAGGAACTACACTTCTCCAGAGAGTTTATCTTATTCGGAATAATTTTTGAACTGATAACTTATCGTAAGGGCGGAAGTGGTGCTGAGGCAAGTGGATCTGCTTACAGCGTGCACGTTCGGATACCTGAGTGATACGTCGTCTGGGCCAACCAAGCTTTTTATCTCTCCGGGTCGTTTAATGGTGGTAGGGTTGCATAGGTGGATAAAACTCTGGCTTACATTGGTTATTGGTTTCGCCTTCCGCTCCCCATGTCATTGTGTAGGTTGAGTCGCCTTCAAAATGTCAAAAAGAGTTTTAATGAAAGCAGAATGCATGGCGCGTCTCGCAAAGGGTTGATAAATGCTAATTGCTCCTTTTTCACCAAGGTTGAATCTAATTATGAATATTGGGTGTAGTGAAGGGGGATTTTGAATGGGGCTTTATAATTGAGGACCTGCGAACTGGAGAGGACTTCAAGAAATTCGCGCAGTACTCAGATTAGCGGCCATTCACTACTCACCTGCTACTCCGATCTCGAGTGTCTTGCGTAGTTTTTCCCCTCTGCGCACTGCTTCCTAGCACCTCGTAAGAGGTGCTTGACTTCTAACTCTTTAATCCCCCCATTGCATAATCATCGAGCTAACCTCCAGTCGTCGTCTTGCAGTGCTAATATAAGAGCATAAACTCAGCTACTTCCTTAATCTATTACTTTGAGCGTATGGCGTAGATGATTCAGTGAAAATTACAGCCACTCGCATTGGCGCCACTCACATTGCCCGTCACTTACTTATGCCACCCTATGATTTTTCACTCTTCTGATTTGGCCCGAACTTTCTTCCAAAAAACACAGCAGCCGTTGTTCCAAAAGACACAGCAGCGTGTCCGAAAACTCAGAATGGTGCTTTTTGATTTCGATTAACATAGGATTAATTTACTACTTTTTTACGAGTTTTTAAAAATGGACCGCACTAACATTTCATTCCTTAGGTTTCTTCGGAATTCCTCTCCTTTTATCATTATCTAGCTTATATGAGTGAATAAATTCTACTCTTATACAATCTTTACAAGCGGTTACCATTTAAAATTCTTAATATTGTGCTGTCCCGGAGCCTCATCAGGACCTAAATATTGTATAACACAGAGAGGCACCAAAATTTTATTTCAAAAGAATTCCAAAAGTTCACAAAATTCAAAAATTCCAAAATTCCAAAAAACAAGAAAAATTTGAAAAAGAATTCCTTTGAAATCTTCCGCGATATTTCGGTGTATAACACCTTCTTCAGGCATGTGTTTGCCTCAGCCAAGGATAAAGCTGCCCTTACGGGAGCCGCGCCGTTGGAGTGAAAAGAATTCTTATTATACACCGAAATATCGCAGAAGATTTCAAAGGAATTCTTTTTCAAACTTTTCTTGCTTTTTGGAACTTTTGAGTTTTTGGAATTTTTGAATTTTGTGAACTTTTGGAATTCTTTTGAAATAAAATTTTGGTGCCTCTCTGTGTTATACAATATTTATAAATAGAAGTCAGAATATTAGCCCTTATACTGGACGGCAGCAGCATGAAAATGTTTTATCAGAAAAAGAGCTGTGCTATACCTTTGCGATCGCCCCTGCTGCTATTGAAAAAATCGATAGAGTGTATTCAGGCAAATTGGGGGGTTGACGTGCTCCCATAACCCTCAATTTTACTTTTTGACGCACTAACACAAAGTGAACTTATTCGAATTCTCATCTCCAGCGACTGCTCATGGCCATGCTCAAAGTATCTGTGAAGACCAAGTTCTGCGGCCCAGACCCACCGTAGTAGCTTTGTGCGCGGCTAGAAGCTGTGGTATGCATTTGATAAAGGTCGCGTCATCCACTCTCTCAAAAGTTATTCAGAGCTAGGCTTCGCCAAGAATTTTTGACCCTCCACATGTTGAAACCGCCCGCCACCGCTCGATGTTTGTCCTGCATCGCTAACTTGATCTGCTATCTCTCTACTCGTACTTCTCTTGGCGCTCTCCGCGCTCACATTATCTCTCATCTCCCTGCCGGCCTTTTGAACTTCTCCGCAGCGTAGAGCAAAAGGCTCTATTTCCTGAGCATTTCACGATTTTTCTTTTTCTCCACTACACGGCCCACTCCACTCTACTTTCACATTTTAGTGGATACACCTCTAATTTATTCACTGATCTTGCCTTTGAAGTGATACTAGATTTCATTCTCACCACTGCCGGAACGACTCGACGAACTC